ATGAACGTATCATTCATGAGATGAACCTTCTGACCGAAGAGAAAGCTTCAACTGAGCGTGAATTGGATGCGATACAAAATCCACTGGCTATAGTTTCAGAGTGTCTAGCATCACGTGATTGCCGTTTAGGTTCAGAAATTACTTACGATGATGCCGATACTGAGCTCAAAAAAGAATTATACATATTAGAAAATAATCAGCAAATTTTACTTGATCAATGCCACAAAACTTGGGAAAAAATGTGTCGTTTGGAAGAAGTAAAGTTTCAGATCGGTCTCGAAATGGACAACAAACTAGAAGCTGAAGACTTGGATAGAAAGCAAATTGCTTTAAATCAATTCTCAGCAAACATTTCCTATAAACCAAATGCTACACGTAATCCCAAAAAGTATAAAACTTACTTTATTCTTATATTGAAATATTATTAAGTATATTTTTACAGTTGCTGCTCCTACAAAGCTTGGTTGGAACATACTAGTAACATGAAGGAATTAGCTGAAAATGAGTTAGCTGATACGTATACTATACGTGAATCCTTATTCGTGTGCCGTGAGAAGGCTCGCAATATGTTGATATCACAAATGGATCGTACTGAACACACTATTCGGAAACGCATTTTCGAAACTCAACGTGCGCGTAATGAATTACAATGGCAGCAGTTAAGGGTGAGGGATACTCTCAAAAAATCATAATTCTTTTCTGTATAATTTAAATTTCATAACTGTTAAATTTTAGAACCGCGAAGATATGGAGGCTGCTGTTTGTGAAATCAAAGCTTTGGAACAGGCATTACGTGACAAAACTGATGCATTTAAATTGGCTCAAACGCGTCTGGAGAATCGTGCACAACGTTCTGGTATGGAATTATGCTTGGATCCAGCACACGATCAACTTGTTAGAGAGGTGCAGAAGTTACAAAATATTCGCGATGAGTTAATCAATCAAATTGAGCAATCCAAAGCAAATTACAATTTACTAGAAGCTCAATCACGTAAGGTTGAAGTTGATCTTGCTAATAAGGAGCATTCTTTGATGACTGATATACGTGCTTTGGATATGCGTCAACGTTTGAAGGGTGGTGAATTTGGCATGAAAGCTTCGCCCACACAACAAACTGAACGTAATATTGTACTTAGTAAAATGGAGACTGAAATACCCAAGAATTAAATTTTTTTATGACTTAATAACATTTAATAATTTAGGAAAGCACTTACCACACTTTTTTAATATATACTAATATCTTCCACCATAACGTGTTGTGACCCACAAATTCATGTATAATAAAATTATTTGTATCTTCTATTTTCAATTTTGATAAAAATTGTTTAGTGTGTTTTTATTTACATATTTACGAAATGTTTGTTGTTTATTTTAATATTAAACATTAATATTAAAAGTAAAATTTAATGATCCTAACTTTGGCTTGAAATTTGCTGTCCATTCAATGGTACTATGACCATTCTCAATATCTTTTGGTGTGGGTATTAAATGTACTGCTTGACGTGCATAATTATACCAATTTATAAACTCTCCAGGCTGAACATTATCTACTGGACCCATACTCACTATATGATTACTTTTTGTAGAATTTGAGGGATGCCAATTAACCCAGAGAGCTATACCATTACAACTACCGGAACTGAAAAGAAGAATAAAAATCATTAGATTGTTAAAATGGAATTTTAGAAGGTTTAGAATAAAAATGAAAAACAACAACAAAAATTTTAGTTAATTTATTCAAATTTGGCTGACCATACAACGCTGTTTCGAGCATCGAGCAATTTCAGTGGTCTTAGGAAATATTCGAATTTTTTAATTAGTTTAAATTTAATTTAATTTTTTATAATTTAGTCCGCATAAAATTTGTTTGGACTGCAAGTGGCAGCCTTAGAAGCGATGGCTAATCGTGTTTTTCCACAAGTAGCCAAGGCTTTTGATTATTTTTAATTTATTATAAACTGTGGACTAATTACTTATATATAATTTTTAATAAACTTAGTCAAGGTAAAGATAGGTAAATGAAAGAGAAAGTGGCTAAAAGGACATTCTTAATTATTAAAGAGCATTTTTGATTAAATTTTTTTTTATAAAATGGGAATATACAGGTACATCATATTTATAGTATTATAACCCGATTTTGAACACGAAACTCCCATAGTTTTAATTCCTTATGTACCGGGACAATAGTTAAAATGTTGTACAGATATGTATATCTTAAAATATAATAAAATATTTTATATGATATTATATGTAGTGTTTAAACCACATACTTATCAAATGAATTGTTCTAACCCTTATCACAAACTGCTCTGTATATCTATCTAATCCCTTTTTTTTGTTTATCAGTTGATTTGTTTGATTCATTAACAAGGTTTTGCTTAAAACCTTAAGGTAAAACCTTGACCTTAAACTAATCAATAATGTTACCATCAGGAATCACCAAGTTTTCTTATGTCTTTTGATATCTGTTGTTATGAACTGATCTTTGTTTACCCAGAATAATTTTTTCTATATAGTTCAGCTATTAGACCAGTAACCATAAATTTATTTTGCAGTGGCTTATGGGTTAAAAGCCGAAATATTTGGGAAGTAATACCCTATATTATTTTTCAATAAAATATTTTCCAGTTTATCTAACATAACTGCAATTTAATTTAGTTTATCTAAATTATTAAAATGAGATTATAGCAAGCGCACTCAATCTATTGATTATTTACAAACCTACAACATATATTGAACTATTTCCACATTGAGGGAAGTAGAAAATAAAGTCGAACATAGATTAGATAGATGTTAAACCAAACGTTTACATAAATTATTTAAAAAAAAAACAAAAAAGGCTTATACTTACGCTTCTGCTTTAAAAGTGCCACTTGTTGCTTTATCCACTAAATAATTATTGAAATCCACTTCTAAAACTTCCTCAGGCTTCGATAACGCAATGCAGGGATATTCCCACAGTGGTTGAGCCTCTATTTTTGCTTGTGCTATCTCTGTTGAAATCTAAAAAAGCAATATATACTATTTGTGCATTTTTTGAAAAAATTATTAAAATTTTCACTTACCTGCACCATTTCGTCGAAATGTCTTAAATCGAAACCCTCGCATTTAACGACAGGAGCACGTATTTTGTGTAGGTTTAAAAATTCTACAGGCACTGCATACACTCGCGCTGTTTGTGGTGATATGTTTACATTCTCGTTAAGTTTGTCTCTTATTTCTTCCAAAACAATACCAAAATAAAAGTTATCCCAAGGTAAAATTGAACTGGTGAAATATGGTTCAGCGAATACATGTGTTATTTTTGATAACTTGATGTCATCTATCGCTTTTATATCATCTACAAATTGCACATTTGATAGATCATTATGTGCTGAGACTAATTCCACAAAGCGGCGTGTATTTCTACTGTGTTCATAACATATAACATTGTTGGCACCTAACAATTTGGTAAACAAACCCAATAAACAGCCATCGCCTATACTAAGCACATTTGAGTCTTTGTCTATAGCACTTTCCAAATAACATAAATAACGCTTGTTCCGTGTAAAATCATTATATTGTCCAATGCGGTTATATGGGAAGGAAGAATGAAAACTACAACTACAGTTGTGTCGAGGCACGATATCATTTGGAGTTTGAGCTTGTGAAGCTGCATCGAACCATAGCGAATATTCATCATGGTTACAGATCAAATTGAATTTATCCATTGCACTAATAAATATTGGTTTGGGAATGTAATAAACAGCTTGCATCCAGTGATCGCGCCAAGGAACTGCATCTTTTAACGACACCCTATTGTTAACATTCTGCTTTATAGTCTCAAGATCAGGATGTACCCAGTACGGTGCACAGCTTAACAATATATCAGCGTCTAAATCCATTTCAATATTCCACCAATAAAATACAACATCTGTGCTGCCAGAATTAATAGTTTCCACGAGCAGGTTGTTTACACGACTGTGAGGTCTAATTGTTTTAGAATTAAAATCGAATTGAAAGATCTCAATTGGTTTCGTTAGTGGGGTAAAAGTGTGCTGAGGTAACTGTGATAATTGCAAATCATGTAAACTAGCACTACCTTTACATGATAAAGTAGCTGCAGGTGGTCTAAGTAGCTTATCTGCATCCAAATTTGCCAGAATCGGCATTTTGTTCTTAAGCAAAGGATTTGTTGTTTGAGCTACTTGAGCATAGCAATTAGCCTTTGCTGGTATACAAATGACATCATCAGTTAGAAGATGCTTGTGAGCATGATTATAAATGCCTAAGGCTCCTTCACCTATCAACTCTGTGTCCAATAGTTCCGCAACCAACAAATTTGCTTTTCTAGGCATATCAATTCCAACTTTTATTTCAGTAGAGCGTTTTTTAATTAGTTTAACTTTTTTGTCCATTTGATTAGCATGAAATATTTTTTCTGCACAATTAGCCATTGGCGTAAAGGCTTCGCAGGCAACTACCGTATCCGCACCAGCTACAACAGCCATCATTGATAGTATACCTGTGCCTGTACCTATATCCAACACGTGCACTTCACGTCCCTCATTGTGCATTTTTGCTATTGTCTGCAAATGATAAATTTAATCATTTTATACAATTTTAAGACAAGCACATTACTATCAACATTAGGATTGTTTAATATTCTATTTATTATTAAATTAGTTTCATAATGCAAAACTAAAATAAATACCTTACGAAGCGCGGCAAAATATTTTTGGTTACGTTCCGTATCGTGAAGCATGTCACCAAAGCCGGTGTTGGCTACTTCTTGGTGATAGTCGTAATCATCATCTTGAAGTACCCATTCATTATTGCCAGTCAAAGGATTCCGATATTGTGTAAATGTACTCATATTGCACAATATTTTATTAAAGTTATTTTTCCGTGTTAGTTTAAATAATATGCGAAACATGAAGTAAACAAAAACTCGTTGATAAACACATGAAAACACATTTGACAGTTACGAACAGCTGATTTCTACCTATTGAATTCGCCTTAGAATGTAAAGACTAGCCAAATATTTTCATTCATAAAACTTGACATAAACAAAAATTTGGCGTAAAGATATTTTGTTGATGAATTTAAATCTTTTGCTATAACAACTTCAGTAGTTATATACAACTATATAAATAATAAGATATATTGATAGCGTTTATTATTTGATGCTGCTTCTCGACTTTGCAACGATTATGAAGAATCAGTTTACTCTACAACTAGAAACGCACCTTATGAATCCAACAAAAATTTAAATAAATTACTTAAAGAAACAATCCAATTTTTATTTCTGTAAATATGTATTTAATATACCGATAATTATTTCAACTGTAAAATTATTTAGTTAATTAACAATAATAATTAATTAATTTAGCAGTATGTAAAAATAGTTAATAATATTTACTAATATTAGTTAATAATATAAAATTATTTTATGTTATAAATAAATATATTTTCTGTGAGACCAAACCATTTTAGTGTTTCTTATAGTTTATACTAATTTCATTTAGTGATTTATACTTAGTTTATACTAATTGTTCAAATAAATTGTTCAATTATGTGTTTAAAAGTTTAATTTGATCATAAAAAATTAACAATATAAAAAGCGGAGGGCAAACTGAAAATAAGCCTAAAAAATCGAATAAATATCTTATTAAAAACTACCAAAATGCGTTTAAACGTTTGACAACTTGTTCCACAATATCAATATGATTTGCGTGTAATTTAACACTTTTGTTAATGTCCATCCACTTAACATTAGCTGCATCATCACCCGCTGAAAGTTGAAGTTTACCAACTTGTGTACCATCGTCATCATGAAAATTATAAGCGACTGTCTCCATCCAAGCATTATCTGTATTACGAAAATCATCTACGTATCCTGTATAAATCTCAAAGCCTTGTTCAAAAAAATTTTCAATCATTGTTTTACATTCTAGAAATATCAAAAATATAAAATTGATCAAAAATATACTTTTCAAGTACATAACATTTACCAAAACTATCCAGCGCTTCTTCCATAAATTCTCTTTTTAAAGTTGTGCTTAGTTTTTCACCAGGATCTACCATGCCACCCGGTATGGCCCACATTTTATTATCGTGCCTTTGTATGGCAACCATTTGTAATACATAACTACAGTAGTAATTAATTGATTTAATATATTATAATTAATATAACATAATTACAATTTTTTTATTTACTTTTGGCTTGCAGCGTCAATTACTTTAATTCCTGCATCATCTCTTTTCCAACGTGTAACGATTGGGTCTGCAGCATGATTTGGACCCCAACGACCTAATAGACCACGACCTTGTAAGCCGGTTCTACCTTTTTAAAATGTTAAATTATATTTAATGTTATTGAGTTTATAAAGCAATAAATATTACTTACCAAATGGATTAAGCGGTACATTATTTGTTACTGTATATTTGCCATGATGTGATACACGATTAATATTTCCATCTAATTGATTCCACAAAAGTTTAATGCTACTATTACTTATATTTGGATCAGCCCAGCTCTGTTCATCAATATGAGGTGCAGTATAATTCACTGCGTCATAATCTGGAAAAGACTTTGACCAATCAATCAAGTCATCGGGTACCCTGGTACGTTGCACATTGCTTTTTGGATAAATATTGTTGCGACAATTTATATGTTTAAATACACCCGGCTTCAACATTGTGTGAAATATTTGTAATAAAAATATAATAAGAAATTTATAGTAAATGATATTTATGTTTGCAACAGTTTGTAAACAAATAAATTATGAATAATCAGTTGTGCAGCGAATTCTTTCGCCGGAGCGAATTAAAGTTTTTGTTTTGACAGCTAATTTTGGTGAAGCGTTTGTAAAATTTGAAATTCACTAACTATGAAGTCATGTAAAATATATAGGCGATGTAATGCAATACAATTTAGAATATATCTAGTAATTTAAAAGTAAATAATTTATTAAAATTGTCTTTAGATATTTATATATCAAAACTATACAAATTCAATATTACAACTTTCCCATTATGCTTAATAATTTAAAAATTAATTATTTATGTATGTTCAGATATCTGATGAAATCTGTGAGTGGAAATTGTTAATGATTGGTTGATAGGTTGCAGTGGCTGGCTATGAGATAACCTTCCATGTACTTTAATCAGCGATTTTTCGCCGTTTTGCTACCACATCCGCTAAGATAGAAGTATATAGACTTAATCCATCCCGTCGATTTTTGATACTTTTAATAAGTCTTTAGATAATTTTATTAGAATCGATGAGACTGTCAAAGAAATACCTTCTTAAAAATCTATTTTTTCTGGATCCCAAAGCTGGGCGTTCACAGAAAAAGTGTTTAATGGTTTCCTTTTTCTGTAGGTTTCCACAAAATCTACAGTGAGGTTTATAAGGAATTCACAGTTTCAGTTTGTGGGTTCATATGTACCAATAACCAGAAAGAACTACTGTAAGCATTACAGTGTTCACGTAGTCTCTTTTGATGAGTTCCCACGATCTAGTTTTATTATATGTGGACCATTTTAACTGGAAAGTTGCACCTGTAACATAAACCGATAAAGGGTGATGTCAGTCGATCGGTTTAGGTCGTCGATTGCTTTTCTGTATTCTTTTATTAGCTTTGATTTTGGGATGAATTCAACAGCTTAGATTACTGCCTGGCTGTCAATGAAAATTGCAACACTATATATATACTTGATGTGACTTGCAATTTGCCGATATGCTTCCGTAATCGCTAAAATTTCAACTAGAAAAACCGTGACGTAAACGCCCATTAAAATGTCCTTTTGAGAAAGATTTAGTGATATATATAAACAAATTCCATATATATCAGTAAATCTAGCTAATATTTAAGCTATCTAGAAAGCGGGATAACATCATTGGAAAAGTTCTATGGATTTGTTGTTGCTGAAACGAAGTGGACGTAGTTAATAGCGAGGTCAGAGAATGAGTTGTTTGGCGCAAGCGGTCTTTGCGACATAGTCTACAGTCTTTGCGACATAAAGATAAGAAAATCAATAACTTTTCTACTAATTTCAGGTAAGATAAATTTTAATTTGGTATATGCTATTCATTATAGTTTATTTCAGATTGGATCCAACAACAATAGATTTAGGCAAACTAAAAAATGAATGCGGTTTACATGGTATATATTTCGGTATTATTTTATTAAAACGCTATTAAAATAATTAACGTTTACACTGCATTTTAAAAAGACCAACTTAGATTCCGCTTTCAATGGTTTTGGGTTTTGAAAAATTAAAAACCCTTTGAAATACGTGTACATGTGATTAAAAAATATATTGTTTGAATTATTTTGAATTTAATTCATAACATAGTTATGCAGTGAGCAAAACAATAAAAAAAAATTGATTAATATAAAATTTTAAAATTTGGGATACTTTATGTAAAGCTACAATATCTGTCTTGAACTAAAATGGATAACTTATATTTGCATTCTGAAGACACAGTATACAATTCAAATACTAAGACGACTGTTATATTTTTTTAAGGGGATTTTTTAATATATATCACTAAATTTACTTTTGGCTCATCTGAAATGAGTCCTGATAATATGTAATTCGTTTGAATAAATCTATACTATATATGAACAATCATTTATCATTTATGAACAAGATTCATTGGATCCTTATTACTCATATTATTATTCATATTACGTATGGATATAGTTTTTAATTAAGTGATAGTCTAATTAATAGTACACATCTTTTATAAATTTGAATCTATCATATATATGGCCGTATATTTGAAATATATTTCAATTTATTTTTGTAAATGAAATTAAATTTATATATATTTATATATCGTCATATTTAGATTTTATATTTATATAATAATATAAGTAATTAGGTTATTGTCATTTTAAATATTTGTAGTTTTCAAAATTAAAAATATTTATAATTTAGACATTGATAATAATAACTTCGTTAAAATATTCTTAACTATATATGCCAAACGTTTATCCAATGTTTAAGATATTTTAGTAATTACCAAAGCGATTAGTTGGTGAATACCTATATATCATATTAGCAGGCAATTACCCGTATATTAATTTAGATTATTAGTAATAATGTAAGGTGAAGCCATCAAAAAATTATATTATTTATTGCTGTACTGATAAAAATATTAGTTAATTGATATTATATTGAAATTGGAATTTTTAAAATGCTATATATATAAACTGACTGAGTTTTTAAAATAAACTAAAGTTAACAACTTAACAAGTAACTACTCAAGTGAAAATTAGGAAAGTATATAGAATATTATTTTTGGAAGATTTTTGGAAGATTTTTGGAAGATTTTTGGAAGATTTTTGGAAGATAAACAAAGTTCCGGTAAATATATCCTTTATTAAATATAATAATTTTGAAAACAAATAATAATAATAATATCTAATAATAGTAATTAATAGTAATATCAGTTTAATAATTTATGTATTACCTTCAAAATAGTGATTTACTTTCACAATTAAAAAGGGTTTGAGTAAATTTTATTAGCTATTGAAGTGTATCTGATGTCATTGTTTTAAATTTAATTCGGTAGTACAATACAGTAATTTTATTTTAAAGGAAAGGTTGTTATATAGAGCATTAACATGACATGACAATTGTATCTACAAGTTAGTACATGTAGAAGATGAGAGAGTTTCCAGAGAATTCTTCATTGTTGGTAAAGATAATTAGAAACTAAAGATAAAAAAAATATTTCAAGAATAAAGCTAAAGATGAAGTTT